GGCTCTGTGTTTGCACATGTGTGGTTCCGTGTGTGTCTGGTTCTCTGCCTCTTCTCTCCTTTTTCTTTCCCTTTCTATTTTTCTCTTTTCTTTCTCTTTTTTTCTCTCTCATCACATGATTAACAAAGAAAGAATACACAGCAACAAAGGTAGTACACATGAAGCTGTATTTATTGTCGCCAGGTTTAGAATTTTTAGAAAGCCTGGCATTTACTGTAAAAAAAAAAAGCAACATTTATGATTATTAACTATATTCATATGCAGGGCGGCCTGCCATGTACTCCCACCGCCCGGATTCTGTTTTTCTGGCATGCCGGCACTCTGGTACCTTACCAGTGAGGCACTGCCGGCGCTTTGGCACTCCGGCCACAAACGTTACCTACCTCTTTTCCAAGTTCACATCCAAGGGTCCCGTGCTGCCTTAAGGCTGGCGATGTATTCATCCTGCCAACAAACCGGAGCTGGGGACCTTCTGCTCCCGCTGCGGAGAGGGGGACAGAGCTAACAGCCACCGGGCCCGGACGCAGAAAAAGCGGGGATGGGTTTTCCCTTGGAGTCGAAGCTGGTTGCTCTTTCCCCGTAACCCCGTTAATCACCGAAGGAAGGTGGCTGTGCGGTGAGGGGGACCATTAATTAAAGCCTGAGCCAAAGGATCGCTCGGGCCCCGGCGGCAGCGAGAGGCGGCGTCCCCTACCCGCACCGGGGCGAGGGGCGGCTGTGAGTGCCGCAGCGACACGTGCTGGGTCCGGCCTCCCCACGGGGGTTGCTGGCGGGCACCGAGGCAGCGCAGCAGTCGGGCGCTTCCCGCTGCGCCTCGCCCTGCCTGGAGGGACCGGGCTGGGCAGCGCCGCGCCGTCCCCCCGCGGGGCTGCACAAATGGGAGGGCAAGGGCGGAGCCAGGCGGGAGAGCGGTCGGGCTCCGCGCCCAGCGTGGCCAGACAGCACTTGGCACCGCGCGGGCCGGCAGGTACCTCGGACAGAGCCCGGGCGGCAGCACTGCCGGCCTGCCCAGCCCCGCCGGGATCCCCGAAGGATTGGACGGAACGGGACTGGACGGGACGCCACCCCCTCGCAGGTGAGGCGCGATCGCTGCGCTCGCGCTGCTCCGGGTTGCCAGGGCCGGGGGCTTTCCCCTGTGCGCCGGGACAGAGAGCAGCGACGCTCGGAGCTGGGACGTGCGAGGGCAGCCGCGCCCCGCTGCTGCCTCTTGCCTGTGCCTGGCCCGGGCCGCGGCGCTCAGCTGCCCCCGAGCTGCCGAGCTGGGCTGGATCCCGGCCCGGCCCCCCGCACGCCTGGCGGCGGCAGCGGCCGC